ATTTTCTTAACAAATGAACATTAGTGTAAGATGATACATGGATGTACATGTTCTGTTTGTATGACATTGTGGTGTGTGGTGATTGATGATTATCCAGACTGTGCAAGAATACAGGTGTTTCTTTATTATTGATTAATGGAGACCATGTCAAAGTGTAACATAGAAAGTGTAATAGGGTAATATTGAAAGTGTAACATTTTCACACTTTCTTAACAAATGAACATTAGTGTATGATGAGACATAAATGTACATATTCTGTTGGGTTAATTACACTAGTTGTCCCCAAAATATGAAATTTGTCTCATTTTGGTCTACAATGTTTCAATTGCATTATTTTGGTCTCTAAAGTATTGAATATGTTTTTATATGGTCCCTCAAGCAGATAACATCCAAATTGTAGCGACTATTTTATTATAAACTTGTCACATGATACTTAAATATGGACAAAAAAAAACATAATTTGAATAAATTTTGACCAAATTTTTACTCAAATTTTGGTTAAATAGTTACCAAAATTACATAATTTTAATCATCATCTTCAAAATTTAGTCAAAAACTACCCATATTATGTAATTTTTTGTCAAGAGCTATCCAAATTTTGTTTAAGAGCTATCAAAATTATTTTTTATCCATATTTAGATATTACGTGACAAGTTTATGATAAAAAATCGTTAGAATCTAGACATTGTTTGCTTGAAGGACCATATAGAAACATATTCAATACTTTAAGGACCAAAATAATACAATTAAAACATTAGGGACTAAAATGAGACAAATCGCATACTTTAAGGACCTTTAGTACAATTAATCCTATTCTGTTTGTGTGACATTGTGGTGTGTGGTGTGTGGTGATTGGTGATTATTCAGACTGTGCAGTGATACAAGTGTTTATTCATTGTTGATTAATGGAGACCATATCAAAGTGTAACATAGAAAGTGTAAAAGGGTAACATTAAAAGTGTAGCATTTTTACACTTTCTCAACAAATGAACTTTAGGGATGAGACATCGATGTACATGTTCTGTTTGTGTGACATTGTGATGTGTAGTGAGTAGTGATTATCCAGACTGTGTAGGGATACAGGTGTTTATTCATTGTTGATTAATGGATATCATGTCAAAGTGTAATATAAGAAAGTGCAACAGGGTATCATTAAAAGTGTAGCACTTTCACCTGTATCCAATACACTATTCCAAACAGTGTGCTAATTCACTATACAAGACCAGTGTGTATACAGACTAATCCATAAAAAAATATATATATATAACTTACAATGTGAAAAATTAGTTAAAACAAATAAACCTAACAAAGGAGTGAAAAAACATATTGTAAAAAACTTAAAACATTAAATAATGTCATTAAATGATAGCATTAAACAAGTCTACAATGGCTCGTTACAAGATTTTTTGTTGTGACTGCCCAAACGGCCACACCAGCCACAACGAATTGCCTAATGACTTTTCCCCTAGACCAAATTCTACAATTCTTTGGTCTACTAGGTTACTTCTTGGTAGATGGTGACAAAATATTAACATCTATAGACGAATTTCATCACAATATATGGTCGATATCGGATAAATGGCTTCAGAATATGATATCTTGTATGTGCTGACAGGAAAGTAATAATCAACAAATTTGTTGATATTCCGTCCACTCTTTCGTATTGTAGACATCGCATATGAACAAGGAAATCCATTTATTTACCACTGAAAACATGAACACGTGTCATTCACAATATCAACAGTGACCGAAGGATATGATATCACTTTATACACTTGCTTATTCGAAATCCGCACAGTCTAGGACCTCCCCTCATCAAATGCAATTTGTAATCTCGAAGACATATTGGGGCATAAATTCTCATTCCACTCCGAATCTATATTCATCATTTGGCCAATTTGATCAATTATCTGTCCCATAATTGTATCAACATGCTAGTAATAGGTAAACTACATGAACTACACGAACAAGTTTCGATATATTTGAATTACCACCTACTTTGAATACTTTAGTAACATTATCGTATGTACATAACAGCAACACCGTTTCCTCCATTGTCAAAATATCTCAAACTATTAAAAGAATAGATACAATAAAAGTCAAATGAAAAACATATATTCAAACAAATAAATACTTAAAACATTTATACATTAACACATTTAGTATGTTAATAGGTTAAATGTAACATACTTTGTTTTTCCTATTACATAATTGTCAGGCTATAGGCTTCAGTCTTCGGCTGGAACAAATGTAAACATTTTCATCCTTCAAGCTTCATGATATATCATATTTGTCATGTGGATGAAGAACAATATCGGATTGCAGGTAGATGAAGAAGAAGCATAAATCGACTTGAGGCTTAAAGAAGAAAATCGGCTTGCAGGTGATGAAGAAAATTGGCTTTAGCCTTTAAGCAGAAAACTCAGCTTCATGCAAAAATATACCAGTGTATATTTCTTTCTTAAAAAACTAAAAATAATAGTGTATTCAAAATTTAAAATTTTTTGGAAAGTATTATATTGCTCTCTCATAAAACTAGAAAATATTTAATACACAAATATAATTTGAAAACTAAACACTTTCCAAAAAAAAATATACATTAACCAATTGAGGACAAAAATGTCACAATAAAATCAGAAAAATTCAAATTATGTACTTGGATACAAATAAATATCAAAATTAAGGACTTATAACCCTACATTCTTTCTGTATATTTTTTTACAATTAAGTCTAATTTGGTGTACCCCTTCTAATTTTTTCATTTAAATTTGGGTCTAAAAAGGGGACAGGAGATACTATTAATAATATTTAACTTCTAAATTCTTTATTACTTTGATCCAATTTTTATTTTCTATGCTCATTTGAATTCTAAGTCCTTTTGTACTATTTTATAAATATTATTTGATTTTTAAATTCGTTTGTACATATTTATTAGTAGTACGCTTACATACGATTTTTTATATTTATGTCTATATTTATATGAAGAAATAAAATTCAATGTATATTTTATTACTATATACATATAATTGTCGGATTGGATTCTATGGTCAAATATATATTAAATTTAATTTTTTAGTATGCAAATATATTATATTATATATTGCAAACAATAGTATTGCAATTTAATCATTTCTTTGACAAAGAAGGTAATAAATCTATAATATATTTAGATGTTTTAATACTCAATAATAACAATCTTACAATGAAGTTTCATTAAAAGAGAAATGTCTAATTGATCGGAGATATATATAAACAAATAACAGATTAAATAGTCAAAGAAATGTAGAACAGATCAATATGTAATTAAGTTTAGGAATAATTAAAATAAAAAATAATTATTTCACACATAATTTATTATTTTATTAATTTTATATTTAATTAAAAAATTATTAGTTAAATATATTTATGTGCAACACTCATAGTGCCTTGCTAGTATTAGACAATAGTTGTTATATAACCCTCCAAGAAATTTTAGAACGGTGTCACAATACAATTTTCAAAGAAATAGGAAGGAGAAGGGTAACTTTCTTGCCTTATACAATGGGAAGCCAAAACCTTCCCCCACAAGGGCCTGTTTGTTATATGGGTTTGGACGGGTTTGAGATCATAGGTTGGGGAGTAAATCCTTTGTAACCCATGTTTGGTACATACATATTTATTCATGGGTTTGAAACCTAGCCCGTTAAGGGCCGTGATTGAATCCCAAGTTTGTGGGTTTGAGGAAAGCTGGGGGAGGGGTGGGTTTCAAATTTGGGTTCATGGGTTTAAGGTATCAAATGACATTTATACCTCAGATGAATTTCAAATTTGGGTTCATGAATTTAAGGTATCAAATGACATTTATCATTGTAACCAATATAATGATATTTAATATGGTTTAACGAAAATATGTTAGACCGTTTTCATGTATTTGTGAATGGACAAATTTTGTATGTATCCCCGTATAATTTAATGTTAGAAAGTTGCACTTTTTTGTTGAGTTAGTCCTTTTTTGCCTTTTATTATAGTTATGAATAAAAGTTATATTTTATCAATATTCATGATTTTTTTCATAAGTTAGGGAAAAAAAATGTAATCATATATTTAACCCATCAGGACATAAGTAAATGTACGTAAACAAACATGGGTTTGAATTAAATTGTTTAAAGGGCAAAAAAGTCAAATATATACAAATATATTATCATAATAGTAATATACCATGTGCATACCAAACATAGGTATAAATAATATTAACCCCCTGAAACTCATCTTTGAATCTCATTTTTGATCAAACCCAGATTTAGACAATTCAATTCAAATTCTTCTCAAAAAAACATACCAAAAAGGCCCAAAAGTCTTCCTTTCACTCCCCAGTCGTTACGCAATTATAATAATGACAATTAAATCGTGGAAAACCTCCCTGGGGGAGAGACTTTCTCCATCAATCCAGCTTTCAATCGCTTTCCAAAACGACCAAAATCACACATACACACAATGGGAAATAACCCAAAACACACCAATAAAATAAAAATCAAATTAATAATTATCTCAAGAAGTCAACCTTCTCCTCTTTCTTTCTCTCTCAAAGACTGTTTATTTAGTCTTTCACGATGAGAAATGCAAACAAGATAGAAACAAAACTAGTGAGAGAAACAAAGAAATACATTGAAATATTTGTTCAGAAGAACACAGCAGGAAGAAATCTCCCGTGCAGGTAAATTTCTATCACCACAAAGTTTCTGATCTAACCCACCCATTAACATGATTTTCGGTTATGAATATCAAATTGTTATCTACAGTTCAAGTGGTGGAGGTGGTGTATATATTACTCTATTTCTCTCTCCTTTTCATTCAGACGATAGGTTACATCGATATGTACATTCATGATCCATTTTATATCTTTTGAGTTCGATTCATTCGGACCCAATTCATCTAACAGCTTAAGCTTTTATTTATTGATGGACAGACAATACTCTCTCTATCCGCCTTATTCCACAGCATTTATAATACACCTCCCGTCTCACATTTCTCCTCCATGACAAGTTCTTGATGTTTGTACAACGACGACGTAGAATAAACACCAGTGCTTTTCGAGGAGAGAGGAAATCAGAGAATGCATTCGGCAAATCACTGGGGAGGATCGTTGGAGATAAATGGAGAAGACTCAACAGCAGAAGACGAGAGGAGCAGGCACATGGAGTGGGATAGAGGATCAGTGTCACATCAATTCAATCACTTGGACGAGACACAACAGAGCTGGCTGTTGGGTCCGCCGGAGAGCAAGAAGAACAAGTACGTTGACTTGGGTTGTATAGTTTGTAGCCGAAAAGCACTGAAATGGAGCTTATGGTCTGTCGTGATTGCGTTTATGGTGATCGGACTCCCTACTATAATCGCCAAGTCGTTGCCCAAGCATAAGCACCCCCCTTCGCCTCCTGACAATTACACTATGGCTCTCCATAAGGCACTCCTCTTCTTCAACGCCCAGAAATGTACGTCTCTATTAATTTCTTTTCTGCTACAGTTATTTATATTTTAATTATTTAAATACTTTTTTCAACTTTACTTGTATATATCTATAATATAATATAGAATAAATTTTAATAAATTTATTTGACGACTTTAAATAAACTCATCACAAACATCCCACTTAAATTTCCACTGAGGCACGGGTGACTTCTTATATATATGTTGTTAAAAATTTTGAGAATTAAAAATTATCCTAATACCTACAGCCAGTAAGACACCAACCTGGAGAATTGAGATCCCCTTGCTTTTTTCTTTTGAGTGGACGTGGAACTCATTTATATATATTTAGTCTCACTTAATGATTGATGATCTATTAATCCCATGGTCAACTATGCATCGTGCATTTTCTCCGTTTATATATACATGGACAATAATGAGTTCACATTCCCTCCCTTGCAAAAGGAATTAAAGGTTCTATATTTATTTTATAATTAGGGGTAATCCGTGTTTGAAAATATGTTATAATGTGAATAATTTTAAAAAAAATATTGATGATCATTAGGTGAGTCTATTTGAAACCGTCAGATAAATTTATTAAAATTTGTCATGTTTTATATTATAAATTAAAAAAAATACAAACCGATAATTCCACTAACAAACCAAAAAAACGAAAAATGTAACTCCGTGTGGGACCTGCTCTTCGTCGTTGCCAATACTAGATGCTAACTTAGGAGCCGTAATGTTTCCAACTTCCTTCATATTTTACTTAACCCCACACAAAACAATAAAAAAGAAAAGACAAACAATCCACCACAATTTATTATTTTGTCATAAACAGGGCAAACAATCCACCACAATTTATTATTGTGTCATAAACAGGCCACACTTCCAACATTTGCATGTTAATATCTTACTATCTATACTTTTTTTATATACTAGCACTAAACACGTGAAAAAAATTAGATCATTAATTTGTTATTAAATTTATTTGAAATACAAAGTTGATAAATAATAAAATTAAATTATTTTTTGTAAAGGTAAGTGAATAATTAAAATACCAAGAAAAAATGCACTTAATCTTTTAACTTCAAAATTTAAATTGGATTCATGAGAGATTGTAATAAAACAAATAAACACTAACATATAAAATTGTAACGTAAACATAAGAATTAATAAATTAACCTCAATTATGTCAAATATTCGACCTGCCACACTAATTTAATAAACTAAAATATAAGAATTAATAAATTAACCTCAATTATTATACTGAATACTTGATCTGTCACACCAATCTCTTAGAAAACTATTTAACATTAAATTAAAAAAAATTAAGTGTCATAGAACATATGAATTAATGTAAACATAAGAATTAAAAAACTAAAATAGAGGAATTGATAAACTAACCTCAATTATACCAAAAACTCTAATTTTGACTTCATTAAGTTTGTCACAAAAGAGCATGAGATCATAAGATTTCAATTAAATGACTATGGCAGGCCAACTTCTAACTTTAACGTGAATGAAAGAAAAAACTTGTTGGATAACTTTCTGAAAAGTTTGATCTCATGTGGTATTAGAATCCTATCTAGTATATATATATATATATATATATGAAGGAATTCAAAATATTTTAGAAGTCTAATAAGTAGGAAAGACAAAAAAATATATGTATATGTATCACCTAAAAATGATCAATATGTGGTATTAGAATTTTAGTAGAGTTTGTACAATTGAATGGAAAAGAAAGAATGTATTGTCATAGAGATAAAATTTATATATATCTATATGAAGGAATTCAAAATATTTTAGAAATCTAAAAAACAGAAAAAATAAAAATATATATGTATATGTATCACCTAAAAATGACCAATATGTGGTATTAGAATTTTAGTAGAGTTTGTACAATTGAATAGAAAAGAAAGAATGTATTGTCATAGAGATAAAATTTATATATATATGTGAAGGAATTCAAAATATTTTAGAAATCTAAAAAATAGGAAAAATAAAAAATATATGTATATGTATCACCTAAAAATTACTAATATGTGGTATTAGAATTCTAATAGAGTTTGTATAATTGAATGGAAAAGAAAGAATGCATTGTCTTAGAAATAAAGTTTATCTATCAAGTTATAGAGATAAAATTTATCTATTCCATATTTTGATAAAGTTTATCTATCAAGTTATAGAGTTAAAGTTTATCTAGCTAATATTTTGGAAATCAAGTAAGTATGAAAGACAGAAAAATATATGAATATAATTGGTTTTATGATAATAATTAAGAGTGAAATAGAAAATCAAAAGTTTTTCACACATGGTGACATTTATAAGTAGTATAAATATATTTTTTTTTCTTTTTTTTTGGGAGGGGAGAAGAGAGTTTGAACTCTTGATCTCAAAAAAGCAAAGTCTTCGTAAAACAAAAAGTTCCATTTGGCCAAAAGTCAGTCGCGAACATATATATCAGGCCAGTCGCCTGAGGCTACTCTACATGTGTGAAATCTTTGAAAAACCAATGCGGGTGGTACTAAGTCTAGGTGGTCTCGGATGGAAAGATTTTGAGAATTTTTAGCTCGTAAATCAAATATGATTCTACCAATATGAGTCCGGTTAATTTGATGCACGAATAGATACAAACATTTGTAACTTATATTGTAATTCTGAGATTACAAAGTATGTAATTAAAAGATTCTATGTTATAGAAAAAGCCAGTTATTGGTGGTACCAGCTGTCGTACCTAATGTGAATTAGCGACGGAGTTGTCAACCATCGTGTTAGTTTATATGGGTACATCAGAAAGTCGGAGGATTGACTTTATAGGGGTTGGATAATGCCTTTCCAATGTAATACTTAAAACTGTTCTGATCATTATTCATATATGTATACTTGTCTTTGTGCCTACCACATACCTGTATTTCTATCCTACCAATAGTCAATAGAGCATTTCTTTATCCAGTTTAGTTTTCCTAAGTGTAATATACTTATAAATTCGTTGCAGCTTTACCATCTTATTTTATTTTATTTAGAAGTTCGTCGTCCAGTAAATTTAAGTCTAAACTACATGGATTTATGAAATGATAACCTGCTTAGATAGAATCAAAACTTCAATGATTTTCAAGTTTTCGAATGGCCTTTAATCATCCATTTTGTATAATTGGTAGATGATCATTCACTTAAATGCGATACAAAAGTCCCACTTGATTTCTGATGAGTGAACTAGGATTAGGGGTGACAATTAACTCAGAACGTATCGTTTTTTTCTCAAGTCATATTATTCCGTATTCGGTTGGGCACCAATCAAACCTAATTCTACCCAATTAATTGATTGTGTCAAATGTTTTGATATTAACATGACATATTTATTAATATTTCTCTCTCAACTAAACCAACCACCTATAGTTCCCCAATAAACTAAAATTCATTTGATCCACAAAACACAAATAACTTGATTTTGATATGACAAACTTGTTTAATGAAGCTTTTGTGAAGCAAATTTATGATTTATCGATTCATTTCTTCATCGGGTATGTTAGGAAATTTTGTGTAATGAGAGCAGGTTTTGCACTAATGGTCAATTTATCATTCATCCCAATGGATAACTTATTGAATTTATATCTAGTTTGTGTCATGTTGGCGTGTCGTGGTCCAAGTAGCCATTGTTAAATGGAGTAGATCTTGATCCGGCCATACGATTGCATTCAATATCTAGAAATGGAAGGGTGTGATGTGATTTTCAACTTGATTTCAACACTGTGCATGAGTGCAATAATATGTGCAAGACATAATTTGTGTTACTGTTTATGCATGCGTGTGTTCCTTTCACCATTTTATAAGCAAAACAAAAAGAAATGATGCTCAATTGGTGATGCAGCTGGGAGACTGCCCAAGAACAATGGCATTTCTTGGAGAGGAAATTCAGGTTTACAAGATGGGTCAACTCTGCCGGACGTCAAGGGAGGTCTGGTCGGAGGGTATTACGACGCTGGGGACAATACCAAGTTTCATTTCCCCATGTCGTTTGCCATGACGATGCTGAGCTGGAGTCTGATTGAATACGAGCATAAATATCGAGCCATTGGAGAATATGATCATGTCCGAGACCTCATCAGATGGGGCACTGATTACTTGCTCTTAAACTTCAACTCCACTGCCACCAAAATTAATCAAATTCATTGCCAGGTAGGTAATGCCGTCGTGAACATGAATTGAGCAGCTTAAAAAAAAAAAATCTAAATTTGTAACCCAAATTTGCATCTCAAATCAATAAGGATCATTAAATCAATTGTTCTTATTTTAAAAAGTTGATGGGATCCACTCATTCAATGATCCCTGTTCATTTGGGATGCAAATTTGGATTGCAAATTTTAATTACATAGTATTTTCTATAAAAAAAAATTGGAGTACCTTCAAGGTATTGTTCAAATGGAATGATTTTTTGGGTTACTAACTCGAGATTTTAAATTGGACTTTCTTAAAAAATATAGAGTAATGTTATGGTTCCTAAGTTGTATTTTCAAAAAATTCATCTCAAATGAGCTGGCATCGTCACACACCACATAATGGGCCCCAACAAAACAAAATGTGAGGTGTGTGAAAGTGCTAACTCATTTGGGATGAATTTATTTTGGGATACAAGTTGAGGAGTCTAGTATTCCTCCAAAAAATCATGCTAAAAGACTTAAATTGAAAATCTAATTCATTGCAATTATTAGATTAGTTTTATAAGTTCTAACATTAGATCAAACTCACTTTCAATCCAACATTTGCAATTGAGTAAGTCCCTAAATTGGGTCTAAATGATATTTTCCTTCTTAAAAAGTGCATAATGAGATCACTTTCGATTCAATTTTTCTAATGAGGAAAACATATTGGATAGTATCAATATCAAAGAGCCTTAGAGTTTTTGGTATGATTAATGTTATTTGAATCTAAAAATTTGATCTAATTTGTTAAAATAATGATGTAATTTCATTGGAATCATTAGATCAACTCCATATTCCAATATTTGATAGGGTCTACAGTCAATTTTAAAGTCATAATGAATTAGATCAGTAAATTATATGTCAATAGCATTGCTCATTTGGTATAGCCACAAAACTAAAACGGTTGTGGTCAGGGCTGTTCTCTGTTATAAAAAAAGAGGGATATATCATAAATGTCCCTTGAACTTTGACACGAGTTTCAGTTTCGCCTCAATTTGATCCTTGAAATGTGTAAATTATAGCAACCAGACATCAGTCATTTCCGTCCAATTTTCCCTTTAAAACAAAGGGAAAAACTAGAAGTTTACGACACAAGCATTGTGAGCATGAGATGATGATAAATATTTGAGTTAAAGTTTCTTACATACCTTTTCCTTGTTAGGTTGGTGGATCACTAAATGGTTCCAAGACACCAGATGATCTCTACTGTTGGATGAGACCAGAAGACATGGACTATCCCCGGCCCGTGCAAACTTGCACTTCAGGGCCCGACCTCAGTGGCGAAATGGCGGCCGCATTGGCTGCAGCCTCCATAGTTTTCCGAGACAACGCCACCTACTCCACCAAGCTCGTCAAGGGTGCTGCAACAGTCTTCGCATTTGCTCGTGACTTTGGGAAACGAACTACATACAGTGGAGGGAACCCTTATATCGAGCCCTACTATAATTCCACCGGATACTTCGACGAGTACATGTGGGGCTCCGCGTGGTTGTACTACGCCACCGGGAACAAGAGCTACATTTCCCTGGCGACGAACCCGGGCTTGTCCAAGAACTCTAAGGCCTTTTATATGATGCCCGATTTGAGTGTGCTGAGTTGGGATAATAAGTTGCCAGCGGCAATGTTACTGTTGACTAGGCTGAGAATATTTTTGAACCCGGGCTACCCTTATGAGGACATGCTGAAGAGCTACCAAAATGTCACTGGCCTTACTATGTGTTCTTATCTTCAACAATTCCATGTCTTCAACTGGACTAAAGGTATGAAGGATCTTCCCCCCTTAATCCTAAATTTATTCAAAGTATTAGTATATTAATCTCTTTGGTTATTTTATGTCCTCTTTTTGGTTTCGTTTCGTTTCGTTTCTATATGCTTATTTTGTCTTCTGTTATAGATACACTAATTACTGTTTGTGCCTAAAAATACAGAATAATAAAAAATAAACATATTTGTATTCATATCTAAAATTAAAGTACAAACATAGAGAAGAGATAAGAAATTTAAGCATCGGTTTATAATGGAGGTGAGAGGTGATGGGCAGCAATAGTAGTGGTAGGAGACGGTAATGGTTATGATGGGTGACAATGACCGTGGTTTCGGCAACAGTCACGACGACAGTGGTGGTGGCGACGGCGACGACGACAATGGTGGTGGCGGTGGCGATGGCGGCAATGGTGGCGGCGGTAGAGGTAGTGGTGTAGTGGTTTCAAACACTATTATTTTTAAATACTTATGAGAAATAATTCCTAAAAATACTTTTAAAAAGTCATTTCAAATGCGCCCTTAAGGCCCTATTTTTCCTATTAAATTTAGTATGTTAATATTAACCGTTAAATTAACTTTAAAGTAAAATTTAAAGTAATCTCAACCGCGAAAAACAAAAGTCATTTTGATAATCTTTTGAAATTTGAATTGTAAATTACTTTATTATATAGATTATTCTATAATCATAATAACCATTTATTTATTCTAATAGTGATCTACAAATACATTTTTCAGAAAGTGTGATCTATTGATGTTCATAAAAAATACTTCGAATTATGAACCAAGAGCCAATTAAATCCTTAAACTAAATTTTGCTTCAATTGCGCTCTCTAATTTCTTAATTATAAGATTCAATCTACACCTTTCGTCAGATTCCATCCCATATGTTAATAAAAGTTATTCGTGCATGACTCATATGATTGATCCAATCATCCAAAGGGCAATTTTATAGATTCTGATCAGGAAAAATCTCAAATACCCAAACACAATCCTTTGAAAAAAACTAAATGATGGCACATTGATCATGAATTTTGTGAGTGTCCTTCATAGCTCTAGGCAAACGGAAACAATAAGCATGTTGATGTTGAAGATACAAGTTGGTATTGTCCTATAGTGGGTTGGTGGCTTGTCTTAAGAGTTCGATATTGATTCCTGAAATGGCCTGTGGGAGTTGCAGGTGGACTGATCCAACTGAACCATGGGCGTGGACAACCTCTACAATATGTGGCCAACGCTGCGTTCTTGGCATCTCTCTTTGCTGATTATTTGAATGCCACTGATGTTCCAGGTTGGTACTGCGGGTCCACATTTTTTTCAACAGATGTCCTACGCAGTTTTGCCACTTCACAGGTTCTCTTCTACTCTCTTTATCCTCTTTTTTTTTTTATTTATATATATATATATATAGTTTTTGAACCTTTTAGAGAAGTATAAAACATATTTACAAAGAATAATTTAATATATTGAAGTCGTTGGATTAGTAGTGGGCCTCAATATTAAATGAGGTCCACTACATTAATTACATATAAATAGTGTTATTGGTAAAAACATGTTTGCGTAAATAAGTATACCCACGAGAGGAAGAGGGGTGTCATCTAAGAGTACGAACCAGGTGGGGCTCGGGGAGGAAGCGAGGTGAATTATGCATCTCTCAACCCAGGATTTAAGTAGTGGTGTGCTAGGTTTATCTTCAATAGTGAGATAATCATAGTAAGGAGAGGTCATTTTTCCTTGAAGTTGGTCACTTGTATAAAGCATAACAATTTTCATTTCTGGAAACCATTCTTTACTTAATTTACTTTCTAACTCATGAGTAATAAGCTGATCAAGCTATTCTAACCATTCTCTTTTGTGTTGCAAAATCAGATCAATTACATTCTTGGTGCGAACCCATTGAACATGAGCTACGTGGTGGGCTATGGCACCAAATTTCCTAGACATGTGCATCACCGTGGGGCATCAATACCTCACGACGGCAACAAGTACTCCTGCACCGGCGGGTGGAAGTGGCTTAACAGCCGAAACCCGAATCCTAACACCATTACAGGAGCCATGGTTGGAGGGCCTGATAAATTTGACAGATTCCAAGATCTCCGAACGAATTTTAGCTATACCGAGCCCACGATGGCCGGAAATGCCGGTTTGGTGGCTGCACTAGTGTCTCTGACAAGCAGTGGGGGTTATGGCATTGATAAGAATATTATATTTTCAGCAGTTCCGCCGATGTATCCAATGAGTCCACCACCTCCACCACCATGGAAACCCTGAATAACAGATTCAATAAAGTCCCCATGGCTTGAGCTGCTTTAGATCTCCATACTTCAAATTTTGACTCTCAGCTTCGTGTTTGTACAAAAGACATCTGATATGTTTTTTGTTTTCTGAACTGAGATATCTGATATGTTCGGCTACTCATTTTTCTTACTGTTAATTATACAAGGGCATGCTCAAGTCAACAATCTTGTAATATTTTCAATTTTGCTACATTTCAGCTTTATACCATTTGGTCCTTCTGACCACATTTGTACAAGCTCACTGATCCATGAATTTTTTGGGTACTTTAAACCCCCAGTTACTGAGAGCAGCCGATTTAAAATGATCCGGATATAGCATAAAGATATCGGCTTTCCTTAATACGCATTTGTGTGTGTTTTAAGGGGGGGAGGGGTAACAATAGCCCATCTCCAAATATATCATCATCGATTAATCAGAAGAAACTCAATCAAAGAGGCAAATAATTGAGCCATAAATGTTCCAGTTAAAGAAAATGAAGGAAACAAAGAAAAGACATTGCCTTATACCTGATACCCCCTTTTAGTGCCAGTAATTCCAGACGCTGCCTGATTTTGCCAGGAGCACCCGTTATTTTACAGAGATTTCAAGGGGGAATTATTGAACCAATTGCTTATTTCGCAGATATAATAGAAACGCTTGGGCCGACTACTGTGAATAGCATGAGCCTGGCTCTCCCGGGGCAACTCGACCAGGCCCGGCCAATGGAGCAGCAGCAACTCCTCTCTGATTCAGAAGACACCTAAAGTGTGCTAATCTTCCCGTAACTTGCCGTGGATCTTTAGCTAGATTGTCATAAGGTGTCCATAGCCTCTCTTCATCCAGGACAAGAAGAAAAGAAAAGAAGTTAATGACAGGAATAAATTAGTTTGGTGGGTAGATGCTAATGCAGGTCCTCATAAACACTACAACACAGTATTGTGCAATGGAACTAGCCACAGAAACCAGTTTTTAAGCTAAAATGCATTACTTCTATCCTCACTGATGTATGGCTTCAAAAGAGAGAACAAGAACCTCATGCATAACAATTGAAGAGTCAACAAGAACCTCATACACAACTTCTTATAGATGAGTAGGAAAGGAGAATATACTGAGTGCTAGTACAACAAAATGCCATGTCCCAATGTATGTGTGGACACAAAGCTACCATCCTAGTAGATGCACAAAAATGGTCCTACCATGTTCCTTGCAGCAAGTATACATGATGAAAAGACACCACTTTTTCTTCCATAGTCTTTCCTTCAAATAAATACAATTTGTTTTGGACTTGGAAATATGGCAACTATCATGTAAAGCGTATTTGATTCGAGATTCCAACAGGTGCCTATGTATTTAGATGGGCCTCTAAGTGGTGTTCTTCCTTTAATTATCTCTTGATGCAGTAAATAGGTATATCGTGCAATGCTGGTTGTGTAGTGCTTAGCACACTGGTTACGTGAACAAAATACCACATGCCAACGTATGTGCAACCACATAATTACATCCTAGTGCATGCACATAAATGGCCCTACCATTTTCCTTGCAGCAAGTAAATATGGTGATAAAATCCCACTTTATCCTCTACACTCTTTTGTTCTATCACATAGTGTTATGAACAAAGGCCACAAACAAATAAACGGAATGGAATAGAAAACTAGAACTCACAAAATTTACATGGTTCGGCTCAAAAAGCAAGCCTACCTACGTCCACAAGCGAAGCGACAAAATTTCACTATCAAAAGGTTAGAGATTACAAAGTGTTCTTGAAAACAAAGGCAAGAGAACCTATCATCACTCTTAACTCTATTTCAATATAAATAGTACCCAAAAAATTTTGTTTCGATGAATTGTTTCAATCACCTATAAAATTTCGACCGTTTTGACAGTTTCGAAATGAAATTATAATCCCTGGTGCATTGCATATTTTCCAACAACCAGAAACACTTAAAGTATTGATAAAACAATAAACGTGGATAGTTAAATCTCCATGCAAACGTAACTAGAATGGGCCTAGATGTGTCTCTTTTATTCTGAAGAACTTGTGAAAAGAAATTTCAGATTTTATGGATGACTTTATCAGGAAAGAAAAAAAAAATGAATATAGTATCTATTCAATGAAACCACCCATTGCGTAGAAAATATGGCTTTTCCAATATTCACAGGATTGAAGAAGCAATAATTGGGAAAAGATTTTAGCTTTGATATGAAATGAGTACCTGCAGCTGCTGCAGCACGTGGCCATATGGTTTGTTCAATATCTGAACCATCAATGTGTTCACCCCACGTGCATACCTCACCCCCAATAACTAATGCCTGTTGCTTGGGATTTGTTATATTTGTGAGTGGTTCATTCATATAGAAACCCTGCCATGTAGCATCCAAGTGGTCCAAATACCACTTGTCCTGATTACTTACAATGCACCTCAACCCAGCAGCAGTTACTCGCTCAGCAACACCACTCCCAAGCCTGTCAGAGATGATGTAAGCTCACAATTAACACTCCTGGATGGAAACAATAAAAAGTAGAAGAAATGATAGCATGTCACCACATGATGAACGATTGGATCACCTTTTTATTTCTTGTCCTTTGACAGGGAACTACAATAGAATGTAATTGATCATGTCTAATTCGATGACAAGACTTTTCCTGTGCAAATTCTGACCTTTGACAACCACTTGTGGGATCAATTTAATTAGGATTCAAATGGGATGATACAGGATTTAAAGATTACACGGTTTCCTCATCGATTACTGCAGTCTGTAAATTGAATGAATGCTACTACTCTTAAGACATGGGGATAATAGGATGTGAGGAACTCATAAGCACGTTAATAGAATTTCCTAACTGTTTTATAGACCTACCTTTTTCACAGGTATGTAAAGTTGCTCCGTCATAACTACACTAGTTCTGCGATATCATTACTACCAAACTAGCTGAATATCATTTTGGTCAAAAAAATTGGACTGCAAAACTTACTTTTTTCTGCAACATTCACTTTCAGATGTCAGGAGACAGTAATTTCTGTGTGAATTAGTGTGTAAGTGACATCCTTAGAACTGAGAGTTCTCAGAGGGAAAGGACCTAAGTAGCACTAGAAACTGTGCAGATGCATTTATATTTGGCTGAGAGAGAAAAAAGAGGGAGGAAGGCAGAGAGACAATTTATGTTATATCTCCTCCTAACATCCGATGATCTTGTCATAAGAACTACCATGGAGCTCTTAAATCAAGTGTTTTTTTCTCAAAAGAAGGTACTTAAAAGACAAAATGTATAAGAAAATCTGGTTGATTTCAAATACAATCTCAGAAGAACTAGACAGTGTCCTGAAAATCAAGAAACTGGCAGGATCTCGAGTGTCATTGGTTTTGTATGGATTACCCATTGAATACCCATTCAACTTCTAGTCAACAATACTTGCAGTGATTTCCTATTTCTATTTTTAATAAGGATAAAGTAATATGGATCAGAAGGAAAGGAACTGCTGAATATGTTAAAGGCTATTGTACAAATGTCAAGCAAAATTTAATCTAGCATTATTGTGTTCCACTTATTACCACAGGCCGGTCTACTCATACGTTTCTGTAAATAATAATGCTCTGGTGGGAGCTTCTTAGTCATATCCCAAATCGAACCTACTTTTGCAAAATCGATCTCCAAAAATTTGTGGCTGACATTATCTAACGAGATGATCAAACATGAAGAGCCTGATCAATCTATAGTAAACAATGGAAATATCAATCACGAGTGATCCTAAAGTTTAGATGCGGCTAATTCTTGTAAACCTTACACTGAGAATCAAAAGGCGGAGATAATGAATAAGTATCTCAGTTTGAATTCCACTTGGGTAACAAAATAAGAAATATATGATGTCTCTTTTCAAAAGAATACTGTTCACACAAGAACACCAAGAAAAGCCTGATGTATAGAACATTCAAATAGTATAGGCTTGGCCAACACACACCCTCTCTCTCTGTCTCTCTCTCGATCAAAGTCGAATAAAGAGAGGGAGAGAAATACACAACCAAACACAAACAAGTCTAAAAATACATAATAAGATTCCCTACTTGAATATAAAACAGGTATCTGAGTTCAAGATTTCTAGGTAATATTTAAAATCCAGAAACATTAATTAGTAGCAACATTTCTGGCCCACTTTTCATGATTTATAAAAGTGAAATTTGAATTAGTGTTCTTATGATCTTTGGTTTAAAAGAATAATCAGAAACAATGAGGGCCACTAATATCGAAACACCTGAATTCTTTCTTTCTCAGCCGCTCAATAATTGTGAGATTTGAGGTGCTAGAATGTACATTCATAAGTTTTTTTGTCCCTTTGGATGACAAATCGTTGGAAGCTATTGAAATCTCGCATTCAATGAGCAAACTTGACAATAAATTCAAATATAATTAGAATTGCAGGAAGGCTTGCAAAACTTTCTTTTTCGTATCAAGAAAAAAAAAAGGATTAAAATGTAGTCAATTACATTAGCTGGAAGGAATACCATACTCTAACCATGATGTTATACATAAAATGTGCACTTCATGAAATTCTTAATCATGAAGATCAAGAAACAACTTAAAATATGAACATTTGAACCACCTCCATAAACAAGACCTCTTGACTTGCAAAGTTTACGACTCTTTCCTTCAAAATATACCAAAGAAGATGCACTAGAATCAGTCCCAAAAAATTTCCCTTCCTAGATGACAGATGTGGGACAAGCTCTAACATAAAGGATGGGTCCTTAATGCAAGCATTTTAGGAGAATTAGAGTGCATCAATCCCTACAGTCTTTTGTTCAAAGGGTGAAGGAACTTTGGAATGCCTTATATGGAAAACAAAGTCTATTTTCCTTTAAGAGTTCAGAAAAATAGGTACAAAGATGGGCATAATTCTCTGATCTATGATAAACTATAAATACAATTTGTTAGCAATTTCAAATTCCATTAATTATGAACTTTTGTATTTCTTGTGGTTATGAATCACTAGATAATTGGTTACAACAGTGATTATACTTCTAATTAAACTTTTCCTTCTAGCCTCAATTTGTGTTATCTTGGAATCACTAGGGATGACACAATATTTTTTGGTACGAATGGTACATGCCTAAGCATTTTAGAACCACCACATAAAAGCATTGAGACCACGAAAAACATTGAAATCAGATAACTAATAAGAGAACATACCAGTTATGAACAATGGTTTTTCGGCTCAATTTGTTGCCGAAGTTATTGAAGGTCTCTTCCCTGCAATTTTCAACGTACATAATTTAGATGTATAACCATAACAACTGAAGCAAATCAGAACAACGTACCAGTTCACAATTTCATAGCCATGGGACAAAGCTATTTGCTGGGCTTTCAAGACAAAGTACTGATAAGCTTCAGATTCATTCAGACCATTCTTCCGTAACCTGTAAATCGGATTTTTAATTTCATATATTTTGTGTTTACGGAGATTATTGAAGTAGTCTCCAAGAGAAACGAAAGAGAAAATAGGACTTCCCCATGATATGATGGCAACAACTGACTCAAAATCAAGCATTCTGATAACAGCAGCATATTCTGATCATTTTCTGAAGGGAAATTAAAAATGTTGACAGGCTACTTATCGATTAAGAAAATGGTCATGCATTGCCAGATGCTGGATTAATTTAGAAGAAAGGACCATAGCTTTTGGAGATAAGGAGACAAGCTCAAATGACAATCAACTTATGGATGATGTACATGGTTATCGGAATATGTAACCAAGGACAAGAAGGATATTGATCGCTAAAAAGATATGCTTCAGGCTGATGTAAATCCATTTGAAAACACAGAATAAAGCTTTAAAGAAATGTGAATGGGAAATAGAACTGGTTGAGGTGATTCTCTCTGAGCTTCACTTCTCTTACTACAGGCCCTATTCATCTATCCAAAAATGCAATCCTAGACCACCACAAACCTCAGGTAATCATCAATTCTCACATGAATTTAAAGTTTCATGGAAAAAAACGATGCCTCTTTAAAGCACGCCCAAAGATATAACAAGAAGTCCCAGTAGATTCAAATCTGTGTTAACAGAATTTATTGGCAATGCATTGACAAACTCAGTTTTGTGAGTGCCCCAGATCCACATTATTCAATATCGTCTGCTTTGGGCTAGGCCTACACAGTTTTTAACTGCATTGATCAATGCAAGTCCTAAATTCAAACTTCTCAAGTACTTCACACACACTCAAGGAAAAAAATTTCGTTTCGAAATGGTTGAAACGTCCAAAACGTTTCCGTATTCATGAAAATCGAAACGAATTATTGATTAAATATCAAGATTCTTATGTTTCGGTGTATTTTGAGGTGTTTCGACCTATGCTTCGGTTGTTGCGACCAATGCTTCGGTTGTTTCGAACAATGTTTCGGAAACAAAATTTTAAATTTTTTCTTTATTTCCATCTTATTTCTGAAATATTACCAAAACATTTCCGTTTCAAAACTCACCGACACACCGAAAAGAAACTTTGATCTTTGCACACCCTTCACCGAGCAATGTAGGATTGGGTCACCACAATCCATCCCATTGGGCCCAAACATCTATTGATCCAAATGATATGAGATTTCACACGATGACTCTCACCATGGTAACTGCCACCGTCTTTTCGGACGGGGCTCTCCACACCACAAGGTTCAATGGCTCTAATACCCAAGGCTATCAAAATGTGTATCGCAATGCATATCCTTTTCTCAAAAATAATGTATAGTATATCAAAACGTATCGTGTATCATACGATTCACTCAGTTTTAAAAACTATTTTTACATAGTAGTGCTCAATATAATATAATTACCATTTCAACTCATCAGTTCATGTTATGTGCGTTCACGACAAAAATTGGAAGAGCTAACCCTTTGTATTCGCGATAGAGATTGAAATATAGTTAGGCTTCGTGCATTTAATGAAGGAGAAGTTAGAGAAGAATAATAAGAAGTAAGAGAAGCAGAAGAGGATCGCATAAGAAGAAAAAGATGATCGAGGGCTTCATTTGTTTGAGATCAAACCAAAATGCAAAAAGTAACCTGTGGGGAACGACAAAATATCATAAAATACGTATTGTATATTATACAATATATTGGAAAAACGATACAACTGGCAAATACATATCGTTTTTTACTGTATTGAAACGTATCATACGATATATGCATATCATATGACATTGACATTTGCAACACTCCAAACCCGCATTATACCGTGTTGTCCATTTGGACTCGACCTACACAGCTTTAGGGGTGGCCCAACAGTAGAAATAAAAAAGTTTGGGCTTTAGGCCCCATTTCTATAGAAGGCCCCAAATTTTAGGCCCATAATCCAACCTAAACATTAAAAACCTAAAAAATTAGAAATTAAAAAAACATGGTAAAAACAAAATTATCAAATCAAAAGTTAAATCATTATTACTTACAATTAACTCTCTCTCTCCCTCGATCAAACACCAACTAAAACGAATATCAAAAAAAACTCTCTTGATAAATTTGTTACTAGTAATAAAAAAAATAGTAAAAACAAAATTATCAAATCAAAAGTAAAATCATTCCTTACAATCAACACTTTCTCTCTCTGTCTCTCCACAGGCCAAACACCAGCTAAAACGAATATAAAAAAAAAAATCTCTTGATAAATTTGTTACTAGTAATAAAAAGTTTAGATAAAAATTTTGAAGATGAAAAAGTAGATAATGAAATAGAAGATAATAAAATAGAAGATAATGACATAGAAAATATTAAAAATAATAATGAAATGGAAGATAATAAAATAGAAAATATTGAAAAAAAATTAACAATTCCTGTAAGATTTGCTTTTGCAGAAAAAAAATTTTCAAATGAAAATTGATAAAATCTTACTTATGTTATAAGAGAGATTAATTAAAGTAACAATATTGTCAATTAACAAAGTTATTGTAGTAAAACTTAAATATATAAACTTGATTAGTACTTTTGTAAGTCAAAAAACAAGAAAAATAAATCTATACTAAACATAGAAAGCCTCATTTAGAGATACTGTTTTAGGCCTCAAATTGTCTTGTGCCCCCACACAGCTGTACAACATGTTGTATGATGAATGCCAAAGCTCAAATTTATCAAGAACCTCACACACTTCACCACAGAAATCGAATATAATAACCAACATCATATTAAAGACACTAATATTATGGGAGACTTTCTGGTTAAATATAAACATGCAAACGAACAAATAGTTTGTATCTATTTCCCTCAAGCAAGATTGTATGCCATGGTTGAGTATATAAAAAGTCACACTACTTGGATATGTGACCATAATGGACTCTTACCAAAATCCAAGCAAAAGATTAAGTGAGGCATTTGATTTAGGCTTCCACTCCTGAGATGGAGTTCACTTTGTGAAGACGTGTATTGTCCAATATCGTATGCGCATGTATGTCTAGGTTCACCCAACCATAATAATCCGCTTCTCTCACTCGATTTGTTAGCATGGTATCAAACCCCTAAAGGGATATAATTGGTTTCTCCTTTTGCCAATTGTTAACGTTTTATATGTGTGTGTGAGAGAGAGAGAGAGATGTGAGAATGAGAAAGAGAAGAAGATACCCTACCTTCCCTTTCACCTCATATACATATACATTTATATATATGTGTGTGTGTGTGTGTGTATAAATGTAACTAAAAGACTAATATACCCTTCTTGGGATATATTATTACATTGATGCCACTCTATGTATTCTAACACTCCCTCAAGCAGTAGAATATATATCATATAATCCTAACTTGTAACATATATCTCTTAACCGAAAATTACTCAACAACTTAGTAAATATATCAGCAAATTGATTCTCAGATTTGACTAAGGGAGTGACAATGTCTTCAAACAACACTTTCTCTCGAATGAAATGATGATCAACTTAAATATGTTTCGCTTGCTCATAAAACATAGGATTAGAAATGATATAAACAGTCGCTTAATTATCACAAAACAACTCAATTGGATTCTTGACTAGAAACCCAATTTACTTAAGTATTGCAACTACGTTAACTCAGTACAAGTGAGTCATTGCCAAGTACTCGGCTTCTGCATTAGATCATGCTACCACTATCTGCTTCTTACTCTTCCAAGTAACCAAATTACCTCCCAAAAAGGTACAATAGCTTATAGTAGATTGTCTATCTGAGGGAAAGTCTGCCCAATCAGAATCTGTGTAGCCTTCCAACCTAAGATGCCCATAAGTTTTATACAACAATCCAAGTCCAGGAGCTCGCTTGAAATATCTAATAATGTGAATAACAACATTTCAATGTGGTACTTAAGGAGTTTCCATGAATTGACTTAGTACACTCACTGCATTAGATATATCTAGTCAGATAATAGTGAGATAACTTCCCAACTAATTGACGATATCGTCCAGGATCTGAGAAACATTCATATTCATCCACTAAGAGTTTATGGTTTGGATCCATAAGAACATCAATTGATCGACCACGTAGAAAACATATTTCCTCCAAAAGGTCATGCACATATTTTCTTTGGGACAAGCTAATGTCTTGTTTTGATCTAGCAATTTTAATACCAAGGAAATAACGAAGTTTACCTAGATCTTTAGTGTGAAATCGGTGCTACAGAAACTGTTTCAACTTGGCAATACCAATAGAGTCATAACCGAAAATCACAATATCATCAACATAAACAACAAGGAGGATATTATTTGCATTCGTATGTAAGTAAAATACTAAATGATCTGTCTGAAATCTATGGAGACCAAAATCTAATATTGCATCTAAGAACCTCCCAAACCATTTTCATGGAGATTATTTCAACCCATACAATGCCTTTTGTAACTTACACACACTCCCCTAATACTCCTCTTGAGCAACAAACTTGGGTGGCTAAGAAGCACAAACACGACACGACACAACAAGGCATGGACACATCGACACGAAATTTTTCAAAAAAGTAGGAAACGGATATGTTAGAGACACGTTATATGTTAGAGTATTCATAATAAGGGTAGTTTAGGTATTTTCTTTATATTTTGTTGTCCTATTATATAAGGGTTACTTAGTGTATTTCTAGGTTAAACTGTATATTACAGACTTCCTTTATAAATAATCTATTCTCTTTTTCTCTTCTCTATTCTCATTGATCAATTCTAACATGGTATCAAAGCTTTGATCTTTAAACCCAAATAATAATTTATGATTGAAGACTAGAAGATAACCTGGTGAACCCGCCCTGAACTGACCTGGTGAACCCAACATGAACCGATGATGAACAGTACTGACGTTATCATCACCGGCGATGACGTCATCAGTCTCCAACTATGAATACCACCATCAGGATCGAATCTTCATGGGTTTCGGTGGCTGTTCTCCTCCCCACTATGCACCGAAAGATTGTCTTCTGGGTCTTGGTGGTCTGTCTTCTGGGTTTCAGTGAGTCTTCTGGGTTTTGGTGAGTGTTCTCCTCCCCATAGTGCATCGACTGACTGTTCCCCTTTTTGCACCGTTGTCTCACAGTGCACCGACTGCCCCCTTTGGTCTATTTTGTGATTGTTTTGTGTGTCAGTCGGGTGTTTTGTGTTGTTACTGTGCATCAGTGAACTATTCTTTGCCTTCACAGTGCACCGATTAGTTTGTAATTGATACTCTCTAGTTGTTTATTGATTTAATTTGCTGGATTGTGGCTGGGTTGTTGGATTGTTGCTATTATTGATGTTTTCTTATTGTGGCTTCGGCATTCTGGACTGGTAGTCTGATTTGGTTGGCCTGTTTCGGTACTTTGGGTTTTTTGCTTGCTTCGGCAGTTGGTTTTTTGCTTTGCTGGGTTTTTTGCTCTGCTAGGTTTTTTGCTTATTTGGTGTTATTGCTTCTTTGGGCTACTGAGTTTGAATTTGACTGTGGTACGTATTGATAATTGTTACTACAATGGCAAGTGGTTACTCTGATTTACTTCAAGCCATTAGTGTGAGACTAATTGGTGAAAATTATGTTTATTAGGCTTATGTTATGAA